TTACAGAAAGCAGATGTCAAGTTGGACAGTTCACCAAAGAGAAGTATAGACAGTACAGATCTTGCTGGACAAATCCTGGCAAGTGGGTTTTTTTTATTTCTGGGGTCTTGTTTAATTGTAGCATGCAGCCAGTATTTCAAAGTCTGCTAAAGCCATTCAAGTTCCATTGCCCAGTTCTCATCAAATATTAATGAAATATGAGCAACTTTCTCATAGATAGTTGGGAAGGCTGCAGCCCCCGTGATAAATATTAGCAATATATTGTCATGTATTAAAAAAAAAAAAAATCTTCAATACCATAAGGTAAAGATCAGACAGAACACAACCATTTCCCTGAGGTCTTTGGTGAAAGGGTCTCTACTTTTTGCATTGCAGAATGCCATGCACTTTGAGGGTATTAGATAATGAGCTCTCATAGCATTAATACTTACTTTCATAGCCATATTCCTAAATACTAACTAATTTATGACTAATTCTATCTGCATATTCAGTAAACATTAAAGTAATCCACACTTGCTTTATAAATTACATTGAAATAGATTTGGATTCCTTTTTGTTCCTAAAACTCAGCTAATTAATACACAGGAGACTCTGCAGTAAGCAAAATAGATTATTAAGCAAAATAGATTACTATACTTTCCTTCCCTAAGCTTCACCAGCACAGAAATCTGATACCTTGCACACTCGGTCAGCAAAGAAAGCCTGCCCTTTTCCAGTCATGGGCGTTGAAGTTGATGAGTGTGGAGAGGACAAATCACTAAGCTGTAAAAGATTTTATATAAATAGGTATGTATACATATGTGTACATAGAACTACCGCTCTAACACGTGCCTTTATATGTATGTACACACACACATTAAAGAGCACTTTTCCCTGCACCAACATAAGTCACAATTCTAGGTTAGTGTCAAAGAGCAGGTCTAATTATACAATGCTCTTCTGAGTCAGTGTTACATATGCAGTGTAGCTGTTATACAGGCAACATTCCAGTTTAACATTAAACCTAACTGTTAAACTGCATTTTGATACTATATAAATCTATTAAAGTATTTTACTTTCATACGTATATATGCATAATATAATGTGTACATATATATGTATAATTAAAATACACATAATTATTTACTTAATTACTTACTTACTTATTTACTCCTGGCAAAACCAGGAGACCTTCAACTTTAGATGGAAGAAGCAATTGTACAGTAAAATTTGTACAGTTGTATCTCAGACCATGCTGTATTTCAAGCAATTTTGCTTAGTTAACCTAACCAACACGTGCTTTCATGGTGTCATCCTAATGTCAGGAAAAGCACTCAGGTAAGACAGACATATAAAATAACAGTGAAGGAGCAAATCCAGCCCATAACATTCACTTAATGTTCAAAATGCTTTTCACCCCCTAAAAGCATCTCAAAATTGGTCTTTTCTTTACCTGAATAGGACTGATAGGAGGAGGTGGGGCTTTGCGTTTTTTTGGAGTTCCACTTCTTTCTGAACATAATTTAGAGCCTTGATCATGCTGAAAGTTTCACCAGCCAGAAAAGGTAGGTTTGTTAGTTTGGTTAGTAAAGTCCGAGCAAGTTGTTTTATTTAAAAAAAAAAAAAAATCCCACATTAATATCAACTTTAGCAGCTCATGCAGTGCCTTATTTTTTTTTCTATGTAAAGACTACATCTCTACTAACACAAAGATATTAAACATGCCTGACAACAAGAATCTGCCCCCTTGTAATCCATGCTTCAGTGAAAACAAACAAGATTTAGTGAAAAAGCAGAAGCTGACAATAGGTTTAGCACTAGTGATCTTAAATACTTCCATTCATACATAGTCCAGTCATGCCATTCTTAATGGCTACCATCTTTCCTCTCCACCAACTTCTGCCTGAGCTCCCTGAAAAACCCACCTCTCCACTCAGAGAAGGAATGAACCAGTGCATTGCACCCTTGTCCACTTTCCAGCCACCAGGAGGTCTACAAGGTCTACTTGCACTCCAAGATATGATACTAAATAAAAAATGTAAGAAACTAATTTAATTGCCTAAATCTTCTGGGATTCTCACAGGTGGGGGTCTCCAGTAGGATGTAACTGAGGATAACCTTCAATTATGTGTTTTGGAAACACGTAGATCATCATCTTTTCTAGATCATCTTCTCTACAGTTTAAAGAGATAGGGAGTCCAAAAGCCAAGCTCCTGCATTACACGTGAGAAAAGTGGCATATCTTCCCAGCACACACGTGCGCATACACACACGTCCTCCCTTCCTTTTCTCACTGGGGGTGCTGGTTGCTGTTACAGAGAGAAGCTAGGTCTAAAAGCAATGTTCCTGAAACACATTTCTTTAAATAAGCAACACAAACCTTTCACATTACAGAGTAGTCAATGGCAGCACATCTCACAGTGACATTTACTAGTGCTTCCAGTCGTGTCAATTACTGTTTTTTCTTAAGTTACAAGCCTAAATAGCCTGAGTGTTTTTAAAACCAAAAGGACAAATACCTGCTTTGCTTTTGTTGGTGACTTTGTATCTGTGAAGCAGAAAAGAAGTGGAATTAAGAACAGCTATCAAAGAAGAAGTTATTTGCCATTCCTAACCCATCTCTCAGCTCTACTTCCCAGACCATAAAAACTTTGTTTGGTTTTTGAATTCCTGACTGAAATCTGAGAAATATACTTTAATTTCCAAATTCCATTTAAACCATACCATTTCTCTGCTGCTTTTTGGGTTTCATATCGAGATAAAATTCGAAGGATTGTGACAATTCTTATTTTACTACAGTCTTGCACCATTCTTGCACATTAGCTTCCTACTTTAGAAATCCATAAAAATTTCTGTCTGCATTAGTTCCTTCTCCAACCCTTCTACTGAGGAGCTGTATGTTCCACTTACTCTTTCACATAATAAAAAAGGATCTATTCCAAATTGTATGCAAGACTTCACAACGCTGCTACATCAGCTTACCTTTTCTTTCTCCAAAACACATCTTTTTGCCCTGCTCAGTGCTTTATCCCATGCTAAATATTACCATCTATGGCAAAGACCACATTTTCCAGCTTTTGGGAAGCCTTAGCCAGACCGTCTTAAAGATGGCTTTTGAAATTTTTCAGGCTACCTTATGAAGTAAACTTGTTCATTGCTAAACATACATGCTGAACAAACATACTGCAGATCGGCATCTCTTACATACCCACATCCTGAGATAACTTTGATGATAGGAGGTTCTGGATCCCTGTATTCTCGGAGAGCTTGGAGTAATGCAGGGCATTTTGTCCGAAGACATCTACTAAACTGACATCTGCACCTTTCCTAAGGAAGGCCTCCACCATGTTAAGGCTACCAGCTTCACAAGCCATCATCAAAGCAGTTCTAGACAAAACAAACACAGAGCAAGCGTCAACACTGTACTCTTTACGTAGCAGCTCATTTTTTCAGGGAAAAAAGTGTGACAGATTGTGCAATAAAGTCTAAGATTTTATCAACATGTGTATTGACACATACATGTACTGTTGTTTCTCCTTACAAACACCTGCCTGCGCCTCCTCCTCTTGCCCACACTCCCCAGCTGGACCTTCTGCAAAGACCTGGCATGCTTTGCACACCTCTCCAAACATTTCTAAAAATGGGTTCCTGACGCTAAGAGGAGAGTCACAGCTAGAAACGGCTGCAGGATAAAGTCAGACTATCAAATTCCACTGCCACACTCCAATTACAGCTCTGCAAGTGGTGGTACGACATGAAAACATTTATTTCATTGCTGCTCTCCTTCATGTGTTGCTTTTAAGACAAAATAGACAGACAGGTTTCAACCAAAAAGCCAAATAAATCTCAAAGCTCTTCGGTGAGACTGAGGGATGGGTTTGACATCAAATCCCGAGCCACTCTCAGTTTAAAAGAAAAAAAAAAAAAAGGTCATTGGAACACAATCAATTCCGTCTCTAACACAGGCCAGTTAGACAGTGCCGGATCCGAGAGTAAGGGTAGCATACAGAAGCAGTGTTTTCCTAACAGGTTGTATCTGTTTTTCTCAGTGACTTGAAGGGGTCACAAAAGATGTACAGAATAGTTACAAACACACAGAAAACCCCACCTTTCAAGCATGCTGTAATATTGCTTTCCTGCTTGGACATAATTCTCCCTTCTTAACATGAAAACATACCTAATAAGTTGGCCAGCTTCACTGGCAAACACATTCCCCAGTGCAGACATGAAATTCAAAAGTTACTACAGTGATAATATTTGCGAGGTATCAAGACAATCATTCCACTGATGAATTAAACATACTCCCCGTAATAGGTAAGCCCTAGAGAAGTGATGGCTGTTGCAGTGCTGTGCTAAAAAGTAGTGCTGAGTGACAACTTGGATAACACTTCCACAGTCACAGGGATGGCTTTAGATTACCAAAATAATTCTCTTAGTCTGGACAAGATAGGAAATTGGAGATGCCATTTTCAAAGGCTATCCCCTTCCTCTCCCAGTAAGGCTTCTCCTTTTTCAATAAAAACTTAACCACCTTTGTGAACAGGAGATGCAAGAGTAGTTACTCTCCTTGCCAGAAGGGAAGCAAGAAGTAAAATGGTGTATTCCATGTTATATCATTTTCTTGCTTCTACACACAGTACTTTCTTAAAAAATAAAATACAAAAATGCAAGTCTGTCCTATCTATGACAGAAATGCCTTCATCCAACTAAACTAGAAACTCTTAACACTGTCTGTTGACTAAACAGTAGGGGAGTGAGGGAAAAGCAGAGGTCCCAGAGCGGGCAACGCCTCAGGTTCAAAGGACCGATGAGGCCATTCAAACCAACCAAGATGACAAAGGGTTTTTCTTTGCACAACTTAAAACAAAGAGTGCACTAATAAACTTTGGACTGATAAAAACAAATTACGGCCCAGTCTTATCCTCCCAGGTGTTGCCAAAGAACAATATGGGCATTGTATCACATACACCTGATAGTAATCGTGATTATTTTAAGTGCCAAGTCTTCTCAGCATCCTGATTTACCTTCACAGTTTAACCAACTATTTATAAAACAGTCCATAATTTTCAAACAGTCCATAATTTTCAAAGACTCTTGACTTTCATCAGTATCATCAGAACAAGTGCATTTTTCACGACAAGGATGTTGCTTTTTAAAAACAGTTTTCTGACACACTAGATATCTATTAACACAACAAAATGGCACCTTGTAAGACGACAGCACCTCCACTATACCGCTCTACTGTATTTTTCTCTTGCTGCTGTGGCTGCATTACAGTAGAAAAGAACCCTCCATGGATGTTACTCCCAAGTAACAGTTTTAGGATTTAAATTCAAGAAACTAACTCATGCCAAGAACAGAGCAGCATTTAAAACTCCAACACGTACAAAGCAATGTGTGGATAAGTACGACCAATCAGATTCTTGTAGCAATTATTGAAAAATGGGATTTACTGCTCTGGTAGCCCAAAGAAAATTTTACAGGCACATCTGGTTTTATAGTTGCTTAGTTTCTGTTTCACCTTTCCCTTTAGGCAGAATTCTGTAAGCCTTCTCAAGAATCAGGATATGCTGTCTAGTACAGAAGGCATTATTTCACATAACAACAACTATTTGGGGAAGGATTTGAGATGAGAGCTTCATCTGACAGTCAGCCTTGGGGAAGAATTAACACGTTAACCTGCCGTACCTTCCATTTTTATCCCTGGTGTTGATGTCTGCTCCATGATCTAGAAGGTATTTGCAGACTTCCATGTGACCATTTTGTACTGCAAGCAGCAGAGGTATGTTCCCATCCTAGGAATGCATTTAAAGACACTATGAACAATAATCCATCCACTTACAAATATCACTCTGAGAATTAAAGGTCAGCTATGAACTTTCCTTCTATATAGCACAAACAACATGCTATCAGTACATTGTTCTCACGTACCATAAATGTAGCTGGGTTTACTTTAATTCCTTCTTTGACCACTGGGACAGCATTAGGAGTAGGAATGCTTTTTGCTGTCTGTACTCCCTTTGCTGTTTGCTTAATGCTATAACATGATGATTTGGGAACCACACATACCTTTAAGTAGCTCCACAACAAAAACGATAATTTTAACTAAGCACAATGCAAAAATATAACATTTAATATAATCACAGAATAACTTAGTTGGAAGACACCTTTAAAGGTCATCTGTGGTTTCTCCCTCTCTGCTCTCAATCCACAGCTAGGCAAACTTCAAGTTACAGTACACTGCTCAGACACTTGTCCAGTCAAGTTTTAAGCATCTCCAAAGGCAGAGATACCATGACATCTCTGAGTACCAGTTCCAGTGTCTGACCACCTTCATGGTGAGATTTTTTTTCCCTAGTACCTAAGTAGAATTTCTCAATTAGGTCCACTGCCCAAATTCTGACCATTGCTTGTCATCATTTTGTCATGCACCTCTGAGGTGGATGTGGGTCCCTCTTCCCTATGATCAACATGATGTAGCTGAGGTCATTTTTAAGATACTCCTACAGCTTTCTCTTCTTAAGATTGAGCAAACCTTTTCTGCCTTTAAAATGCATCTGATGAAATTTTAGGTCTAACCTCTGTGACAGATTTTTTTAGTAAAAAGATCAGGTAAGAAGGAGATAGATCCAAGTCAAAACAAACAAACAAACAAGTTTAAATGTTTCTATGCTTTTTTTTTTCTTTTGTGCCTGATTTCTGTCAGGTCGCTTCCCTTTATCATCAGGGAGTTTTCTATCAGGCAATTGCATCATTCCCAAAGTTGTCTGTAGACATTTCATAATAGTGAATGTAGTGTTCCTGAGCCTTTAGACTATGCCAAGTATATTTTTCCCCCTCAGGCTTATCATACTCTGGTTGGGCTTTGTGAGCATTTCACAGCACTTGGCCACATAACAGGCCTTTTCCAAAGCCTACTGGAGTCAATGGAAAGGCGTTTAATCATGTTTTGAATATATCAGAATTGATTGTAGCTACTTGTACCAATGTCTGAATTTAACAAGCAACAAATCCTGACACTACTGTATTAGATTGTGAAGTACTTCCCCACCTCTGGTATGGCAAGCTGCAAAATGAACTTCCTCTGCCAGAGAATCCAGGGAGAAATATAAGCACAGTATTTCTTTGAACTGCTGCACCTGAGATTGACTGGAGAGGAGGCCGGTAAAAGCTCTGAAGTATACAATAGGAGAAGAGGTACATACCAAATCCTTGAAGTTAACTGGACACTTGTGTTCACACAGAAGCTGAACTGCCTGAAGACAACCACATGCAGCTAAAAAAACAAAAACAAAACCAAAAACAAACCGAGAGAGACAAGCATAGAAGTCCATTAAACCTCATTTTCAAAATTTGTGTTCCGCACTTCCACTTGCAATATTGAAGCATTACAGTGGCGTCCAAGAAAACCAAATTAACCTGTATTTCTCCGTTTTAAGAAGGAAGGAAAGAAACACTGAAAGGATTAGAAAAATTTCTTTACTGAAAGAGTGGTCAGGCCTTGGAACAGGCTGCCCAGGGAAGTGGTTGAGTCACCATCCCTAGAAGTATTTAAAAGACGTGTAGATGAGGCGCTTAGGGACATGGTTTAGTAGACATGGTGGTGTTGAGTTAACGGTTGGACTTGATGATCTTAGAGGTCTTTTCCAACCTTAATGATTCTATGATTCTATGATGAATAGCAAGCTGTATGCAGAAATACAACCAATATTCATGGTCCAAATTAGCATGAGAAGATACAATTTTTAAAGGACTGAAATCAGAATCAACCAAATCTTAAATATTCCAATGGCTCTGCACCTGCAAGTGTGAACTTATTAATTGTAATTAACTGAAATTCAGTATTCACAGTATTCATCTAAAAATCTGTAAACCATCAGATGGAGTCACTGAATTTATGCAGTTAGAACCTAAAAAGCTCCACCAGGCTGAAGAGCTAGGAATATCAAGTATAACAAAATAGACAGTACTACTTTCAACAAAGAAGTTACCTGCATAATGTAAAGCTGTTTTCCCAGAATTGTCAGTGCTGTCTGTTGGACATTTACTCTGCACAGTTCAAAAAGGAGAAGAAAAAAAAGGGAATTAGAGAAACACAAAGAAAATAAAACATACATTTGATGCTAAGAACAGAGTGCTGAACATCTTCAGGAAAAGTTTTATGAGGTACTCCAGAAAGCTCAGTCCATATAACAAAAAAAGAATTAAAGAAAGAAAGGCACAGCTTTCCTCTCCACCAATCTTGTCTCTCCTTTCTTGGTGCCAGCTTATGCTGAAGCCATAGGAAACACTCATGGTGAGGGAGGTATCCCTAAAAATGTTATAGTTTTGGAACAATTTAAATCAGGAAATAAAAAAGGAAAGAAACTCTCTCCCCTGCCTCAGAAAAGTTTCATATTTTACATTACAGTAAGAGCTGAAGCAACCACATTCTAACGCACTTAGTCTTGAGTTATTTCTGTCGAAGGCAATAATGCTTCATTTTCATTTGTAAAAACTAAAGCATCAACAATCCAGTTATATTTTGTAGTATCATAAGCCACCAGCTACTACTGATCAATCTAGACTTCGAAGTATAAATACAGAAATATCAAATTACAAATCTCTATCAAGAGCTGTTTTGGTACAGAAGATTTTAGTTTCAGTGTACAGCAAAGAAAATAAAAATAGCACCCTGAAATAATGGACTTCTAAAAAACAAACACTAGAGCTTTTGATTTTCAAATACAGCCCTGCCTCCAATTTCTACGATTTCCTAGGAAAACAGGTTCACAGAGATTCTGTAACAAAAATGTCAAGATTCTGCCTGCGTAAAATAATTATTTGGCCTGTTTTAATTCAACTACAGCAGGCTAAAATTAGATGTTCCTCACACATACAGTTTATATCACAAAGCTGGTCCACAGAAACAAGCAAGGAATCCAAACAGCATGAATTATTGGAGAATATTACCAATAGGTTTGCACTTACAAACATATTTAGAAATCTGCATATTGTAATAAAATTAGCAAAATACCAACAAAAGCACTCTGTGGTTATAGCTGGTAAGTGAATGGGTAGCAGATACTCGGTATTAAACACACATCTAGCTGCTGAGTTGATCACGCTGCTGCATGCGATACCATCAGTGACAGCTTGGTGTCACTGTTTATGCTGTAAATGGGTTTGCGTTAGAGTTTGTGGATATTTGCCATGAAATCCCGAAGTGGGGAGCCTCAGTGGTTAATGATAACACCTTCAGGTGTGCAGGAACAGCGGATTCCACCTGCAACGAGTCTGGAGGTGGGAATCAGTGAAATTGGACCCAATATTGTCAGAGACATTGACAGGAGTCAATGGACAAATGGAGCGGCCCGAGGTAATCGGCTAAAAGGAATTTGGAGGTTGGGATATGGGATCCATTCTCTTTCCGTACAACTGCACTCAAGCGGGGTTGTTATTCATTGTTTCATCTGTAGTCTGAGCCACAGTCTTACTGATAACTCCAAGCTCCTAAAAATCTGTCCCTTTCCTCTGACCACCTCCACCAAAAGTCACCTGGCTTTCTGAAATGGAGCAGAGGTGGACAATGCCTCTCCCTGCTTACTAATGCGAATCTTCAGCCTCAATACCATGAGAATCTTCTCTTAATCTTCACTTTTGTTTTTCTTATTTTCCTTCCTCATTTTTTCTGCTCCCTTTCTAACGCCTCACTGTCCTTTGCCTCATTTCACTGAGGATTCAAGTATTTCTGTATTTTAGCATCTAAACTACTTTGGTTTCTTCTCCCTTTGACTTTAAACTTGACAGACATTTCTATGGTTAACAACAGACAGAAAGCATTCCAGTGGAACAATATCAAAATCCCCCCAGAAGTGAAAAATCCTTTTCCCCTATACCTCTTAACCCATCTACTTCCAAGCCATCCAACCACACAGACAAAACACAGGAAATCAGACAGAAGCTGCAACCTGCTTGAAACCCAACGCCACTATGTCAGATCAGCTGCACACGGAAAACGATTTGTGGACCACTCAGGGAAGATACCACACTGTTTTCTATCATCCATTCACAGTGCTAAAAGGTCTTCAAACTCAAGCAGCTCTCTTCATTGCAAGGAGATAGGACAACAGTATATGAGTGTGATGCAGATTATTAGCAGGAAATGTGTCTGTATCTAGTAGAAACAATCTAGAGGAACAAAAGGAAAACTTAAAAAATCAAAATTAATTTAATTTTTACTTTACCTGAAGTAACCTCTTAATGCAATCAGGGTGGCTGTTCTTTGCTGCAAGATGTAAAGCGCTGTGCCCTAAATGAATAAAAGCAAAGCAAATTAAGTATTCAATCACGCCAAAGCACAGCAATAAACTCTTGCATGACAAAGGCAAAATTTTGAATTGTCCCTCTTGTTCCTATCATGACACATGAAAAGTAAGGATAGAGAAAATAAAATAAAAACCTACATCAAGCAGAATGTATTTACAACAGAGTGTTGTTCAGGCAGGTAACAGAATAATCTTAATGTCTAGCTTCATATAAAGGAATGACACAAACATTGTGTCAGACTATACCTTGGCAGAAGTCAAAAATTGCACAGTTATCTTAAAAAACAATTTTCCTATATTACTCAGCTTCCCTTGCAGAGAAATGTCTGTCAAGTGTCTTCATGATTTCTTCCATTTGGCAATGAAAAAGGAACCCAGCACCAAGAGCAAAACCAGCCAAATTCACCAGCTACCACTGCAACGAATTTGTATCATCCATGGAGTGCATGTAGAAGAGGACTCCGACACAGGCCTACTTCAGTTTGCATCTCATAGATTCTCTTTTATGTTAATTTATTTAGCATCTGTGATCTCATATTTAGCTATGCAATACAGTGATTTACAACTATGGATTTATGTTTAAAAACTGCAATCTCTCCTCTAGTTTCATCTTACAGAGCATCTGAAAAATTAAAGAGGTCAAGACAGCAAAAGAATGTATTATCCATGTAACTAAGCAAAGAAGGAGCCAAGATTTAGCACTCAATACAGACAGAGCCACTTGTGACAGTAGAATCTCACTGTAAATAATATGACTATTACAGACAAGGCTTTCCCTAATGAACACTGGGTTGACACTCTCAGGTGAGAGCAGGCAACCTGTTATTATTCAAACAACTTATAAACCCTGAGGCAAGGTGAAGTATGAATTCTGAATAACAGTCTGTATCAGGTACATATATTCTCTTATCATTATGTATAATCTGAATGCTTCCTCCAGTATCACAGACACTTCCTTATAGAGGCAAATAATTTCCATGTATGACAGAAATTCCCCCAGGCTGCAATCGGTGGCCAAAACAGAACCTGTGAGCCCAACATTTACAGATCATTACTGGAGAGACAGAATGCTGACAGCTCATTCAGGTGACTTTGGTAGCCAGAGAAAATGCTGGGCACAGATTCCACAGATACGTCAACTGAAATCTATTAAGAAGAGTTTGCCAGTTTCAAATTCAGGTCCCGTCATTCTCCCAGTGGAGCAGTAATTAAGGCATAGGACTTTAGAGGGCTGAAACAGCATACTTAATAGATCTCAGGTCTGTTTTGGCCTGTATCAGCTCTTTTCATTACGTCATAATCCTGACAAAATGTCTTACTGCAACTCTTGCAGAGTTAATGTGGTTAATAGCTTGGATACACATAAAAGCAACACCGAAGATCTTGATTTAACCTACAAAAAGCCTCAAATGAAGTTAACAAAAAGAGTTGGGGGAGGGGTTTTTTGGTTGTTTTTTGTTTTTGTTTTTGTTTTTAAAATTTAAAAATAAATACAATTTTTAAAAAAATCAAGCCACTATTTTGCATCTGGAGTCCACTATAAATGCTGACATTTATAGTATTAGGACAAAAGTTTTTAAGGGCTTTAGAATCTGAATTCTATGTGCAGAAAAGCAAGTATGGCTAAACCTGCAAGTGTTACAACTGCTTTTCCTTCACAGTGTGTGGAGAAAAGCAGTGTTGTCAGATCTGTAGTTGCACTCTGCGTATCAAGAACTATATAGGCAAATTGAGTGTATTATGCTGTATGTGTAGGTTCACAGAGGCATACCTGCACCATCTTGGGCTGTCACATCTGCACCATGTGTCACCATGATCCTCAGGCACTCTGCATGTCCCTTCGTGGCTGCCAGGTGAAAACTGGAAGAGAGCATTTACATGTCACTTTTCTTTTATTAAGACCTCCTTTCTCTTTCATTCACAAACCAATTACTGGCAAGTTGTCCCCTCCCTGTCCTTAGATCTTTTGGCATTCCTCCACTGCCTCCCAAGAAGATAATAGCTCTGAAAGTGAGAAGGCACATCAAAAAGTTTTTGTAGTCATACTTTTACACAGGCTGCTGCCTCATTAACCCATGCCATATACCTTACGTGCATATAGTCCCACCCAATTTCTAAACTAACGTCCCTAGTGATGTAATATATCCCCACAGAATGCCTGGGCTTGGAGAATGAATGAAGAAAACATTCACAATTACTGATTTTGCTCTAGTCATTCTAGTCAATCCTGATTTCCCCCTTTCAGTGGACAAAATTTAGTTCCTCTAAAAGGTGATTCGGCTCCTAATTCAAACTAAATCAAGTTGTGCTTCTGCACTGTCCTTTACAGAGCTCATCTTTCTTCTGTGTAGAGGAGGAAAAAAACCCTTAGTGTTTATGAATATAACCTGGAGAAATGAAAGCTACTGGATATTTGTGAGACCCTGCTAGAGATGTATTTTTTCAACTTTTGATTTACTTTTCACCTCAAGCACCTGCTTGCTTGAACAGTGGGAAATTGCAGAGGTTACCAACCACACCATGGCAGGATGCACTTAACAGCATCAATTACCAAAGATATAATTACAGAATAACCAAGGAAGTTAGACTGAATTCAAGACTTTTTACAGCTGAAGGTTCATGTCTGACATCCTTGGCACCTCAAGATTCACAGAAGCAGTCCTATACACACAGTGCTGACTTAATTTTGCTGGGAAGCAAAAACGAAGGAAAAGCTTCTGAAAACAGAGATGCATATCATGCCAACATCAGCGAGTCTCAATAAATGGGCACAGTACAGGCAGACATATTGCTTCCCTGTGGGTCCTACAAATATCAGCTTGATATACAGAGCTGTTTTCCAGTGGGAGTAATGTAAAAAACAGATTCAAGAGAAAACAACTCCAATTACTATTAAATTGCGTGTGAAAAGTTGGGACCTTCATCAACATGCCCCAAACTGAAAAAGCCAGTATTCCCGGGATGTTTTCTGCTATCTTTTAAAGGAGACGTTCATTTTTAACATCATGCACCCCTGTGTTAAGGGGATTTTCCTCTAAAATCTAAAGGGAATGTCACAAATCATGTAGCTACACCAACTACCATATTTAAGAGTTTACATTTTGAACAAGTGCTTCCTCTCAATGTTAAAACTAACACTGAAAGTTCAATCTGCTAACCAGGGAAACTGGAAATAACAGGCAGGAATGAAACAGGTATTTCTGGCACATAGTATGTGAACTGCAACACTGTGGTTCTCTAAGCCACAAGCTTCTTTGCAGCCTTCTTGAAAACTCAGCAGAGAAAAAGATGTACAGACAAGATCTGGCAAAGGGCGGAGAATTAATCAAAACAGGAGAGCTCCTAGAACAGAGTCCTCTATCAAGTACAGCAACTACCTCACTTTCTACAAGGGGTCCTTCCACACTGGCTGCTGCTGATTGCAAATGGCAGACAGGCAGCACTTAAGCTTTGAACCATTCTCTGCAAATATAAAAATATACTGTGTGCTCATCCTCATGCTCACTACTGCCATAAACAAACTGAAGAGTTAACACTTCCAAGAGCATAAAAAGCACTGCTGCCGGCTCTTCTATAGTCATTCAAAATCAAAACTTCATGTACTTGGTGACCAAGGCAAACTTGTGTAAACATTCTTCTTTAGAAGAAGAGATTTCTCAGGCTCTGGGAAAATGGCTGGGGGAGGGACACAAAAGGAGTCTGACAAATTCCAACACCTCTAATTTAGCCAGCACAACATACCAGCAAATACGAAAACATGTTCAGATACATTTGTGTAGACACACAATACAATCGAAGTCACTTAAATATTAGGAAGGCTGTGAAGCACGCACTTGGCTCACTTATATTTGACAATATTCATAAGAATAATAAATACCTGAATAATAATAACTTGGCTAAATCTGGGACACTGAGGTTTTATGGACAGAGCGTGTAGGATCGTGCCAAATGCAACATGAATACGCAAGTGCAAAAGAAGTTTTATTTAGGTAAAATCAGACTGCAAAGAAAGTATCAAAGAGAGAAGAAAAACTTAACCCCTTTCAGGCTATGCATCTATGAATACATCTACCAACGCAAATAATTCCCATGGCAGTTCTCAGCAAGTCGTCATACATGTAGATGCTTTGTTTCACAAGGCCAAAATATTTTCAAGTAACAAAGGCCTGATTAAAAATATTGCTTCTCCCAAATTATGGGATGAAGGAAACATCATCTGTAAGCAGTACATATGGTGTGAAAGATGAGAGAACATGTAAGAAGGATGTAAAGATCTAATGAGACCAAGAATATAGAAGCTATGTGGAGAGTCCCATGAAAAGAGAGGATGATAAGGTTTAATTCTCAGTCATTTATACAGTGACCTAAGCAGCACTGGGCTGCTACAGTTCCCTCCCAATTCTTTGCTGTGTGTCCCCTCCCTATGTCCTTGTACTGCTACCACCTCTCACATAACTATGCAGTGAGATGTTTTTTCTTAATAACCTAAAAGCAATTGGGAGGGGAATAAGGGAAATGGTTAGTTAGCTGCTGGTTTAGTAAACTGAACTGGCTTACCAGGAAATCAGGCCTGCTCAAGATAGAGAGGAAAATGACTCTGACTGGAATGAACCTATTTAAGTCAGCGTATTTACTCAGCACTGGGCAAAAACTTCCCCTTGAGGAGTAATTCTAACTGATTTTAAAGTTATAGCCCCTGCTTTTTTTTTTTTTTACTTTTTTTGTTAAAAACAAACAAACAAACAAAACCCCAAAACTACTTTAGGGGTAGATACTGAGGGCTCCTGTGTAGCAAGGGAGGCTCTTGAAACAAAGCAGCCTGTAAACATTCATTTCAGTACAGAATAATTCTTCACAAGCTACATAAACGTTCCTAAAATATTTGAGGCAAAAGCTGCAGGTTTCCAAACACTGGAGTTCTCACCATCTGGAAGCCTTAAGCAGTGGTGCATTTTACTTGCATCTTTCACGAATAAACTTCCCTTGATATGAAAGCAAACAACTTTTCCTCCCACTTCCTGGTTGTGCAATGACTTAGGCAAACAAAAACAAACATGTAAGGCTTCATTTGGAGCAAGGGCCACACTGAGGGTTAGATTCTCATTCAGCCTAAAATCCCATTACAACATAGTTCATTTTCCCTTCACAATAGATAAGCCTGTTACTACCACTTAGAGCCACATCTTGATACCCCAGCCTGAACTGATTCGAGATAGATTACTTTTATTGCTGTAAAACATTTCTATTCTTCCTGAGGGGCGGGATGGTCTTTTATTATTGTCTTCAGACCTTTCAGTGCAGCAGAGGAGCAGCTACCCTTCCCAGTGGTTTTCTCATTGGATCCAGAAATGAAGCAAGTCAGCATTCGAGACCCACTCCTGCAGCAGCTGATAAAGATCAGTTGGTTGACACTGTTTTTTCCTACTGGGAATGTACAGGTCTCATAACTACTCAGTCCTTAACAAGATAAAGTAAAAAATTATGTTCTTTGAGAGGAACACAAAGCCCAGTTGGAGTCAAAAGGCCTTGAGTGTAAGAGCAAACACACAGCAAAATTTCATCAGATTCAGGGTCAAGTGGAGAACAGCTACAAAACTATCACCTCAAATTCCTGTCAGGACCTCAAATTTCCTGACCAGAAACGTTACTAAATAAGATTTTCAAATGCACTGATAGAGAGATGCTTTTGATGAATGCTTGGTGACTGAAGAGAGTGGCCAGTTGTATATGACACCCCTGAACTAGTTTTAAACAGCAGATTTCTTACAGATAGATGTCAACTGTTGAACCGCTTACAACTGTCCTAAAAAAGCCCATCCCTTATTCAGGGCAAAGGACCTTTTCCACGTTTTGGTTATAAAGTCAAGCTAGCAAGGGAATGGAGACTTCTTCAATCAGTGTTTGACAGACAGAGCACAACAGTTCAGATAAAGCTGGTCTTTGCTAAAAGGCTGAGAATGAGTGTTTCCAGAAATTATTTAAATGCCAGACAGTCTAACTCAAACAGAAAAGGGCTGTAATTTTTACTACTTAGCTCACGTAAAGTATTTCTTTACAAATCACTCCACCACAGATAGAAGAACAGAATTAATCCACATTTAGAGGTTAGACTTATAAAAATGGAGCTAACTGAGCTTGCTAAGGTGGTGTTAGCAATAAGACATGGGTCTGCCATATCCAGGTTCTCTGCTTAACCATTTGCATGGCTACATCCTGCAAAACCGAGCACAGTCCTCTTACTGAATGTTATTTTGACAGCTGGCTTAAAACAACTGGGTGGTCCATATCTAGGGAAAATGCCACAAAAGTAGAGTGGAACATGACAAAATAAGAAAAAATAAATATGAAGTCTTAATTTAAGACAGTAACCTTTCAACTAGGAAATTTTCATCTGTGAAAAGAAAAACAGAAAAAAAAGAGCAGAAAAATTACACCCAATCAGGGGGCTCCATTTCTGTTCAGCAAAGTCACGTCCCAGAGTTTTTTGGGGGGCAGAATTAGCATTCTCTCTAACACAGATTTTCTCCAGGGCCTAAAAGTCGTCTGACACATTACCTACCAAACTCCAAAGCAAATAAAGAACATGGTTGAATTATGGATGCTAAGTGAATATTGTATTTGCTATTTTCTATTATGACAAACATGGAACAAAGTCAAACTTATATGCAAGCATATAATACTATTGTTCTCTGCCATTTTAATCTGAGTGCTCTGAAAATATTTTAAGGGCAAGAATGTTTGAAATACACTACGAACTCACATACACTCATTGTCAATGTTTATTTTGAGTAAAAACATCCCTCCCTAAGGCAGATCATTTTTCTCCATTTTCTAATGTACGTCAACTCTTTGTTGACTTT